GGGGAGCAGAGAGGAACCTCCCTAGGGCCTCGAAGAAAACATGGAAGCTTGAGACCCAGGAGTTAGAGTCGGGCAGACAGGGTGTGCCCAACGGCCTGATGGAGCCAGGGACGGGGCAGTGGGAGCCCAGGAGGGAAAGGAGGAGGAAAACACCAGCCCGGATCTGCTTAGCATCTGCTCGAGTCGTAGCTTTGTGCCCAGGCTCATACCTCCTGTCATGGCCCCACTCCAGCAGCTCAGGCTGCCTGCACTGGAAGCCCTGCAAACAGACAAGCACGCCGCCTGTTCAGAATCACGGGCACTGTTCTAGAATCTCCACCCTTTGGGTGCCAACAAACCGACCAGTTCTTAGTGAGAGCTGCCTCCTTATACAACCCTGCCCCCCTTCCCTTCACCCCTCTCTGCCTCTTTTTTTCCTTTTCCGTACCTGTGCCCTTTTCCCTGATTATTTTCACAGCCACATACATGGTGTCTGCACACACCGGGAGCTCTGAGGCCATCTGTTACCTGTTGATGAGGTTGTCTCTTACCTGAGCTCTTAGGGTGTCATGGGAACAGCCTGTGCCTTGCTCCCAAACGTCAGTCCCGCCTATCACTGCAGCCACTTCTACAGTAAGTCTGGGCCATCCCCTCTGCAGTAAGGAGCATGGTCCCAGGCTGGGGGCCCAGCTCGGGGCCCAGCAGAGAATGATAGATTTGGGTCAGAAGAACTGACTGAAGCTCCCCTTTTTTGGATTTTTGTTATTTTTACATTTTTTCATCATTCTTCATTCACTTCCAACATTTGTACAAGGACATGTTCCCGGAAGGCTAAGACTTGGGCCCCTATAACAAGGAGCCCTGACCATCCCAGGACTGGGGTCTGCACAAGCCTGTGAAGAGGAGAGAACTCTTGCTCACCTATTGCAACTACATTCGGTGTAGTGGATATTCGCTAAATGCCATGAAAGGACATGGGCCTGCGCCAGGCCAAGGGGGCTCCATTATGTTTTCTGCCATCAGGGAGGAGCCCATGACCCCAGAAGGCTAAGACTAGGGCACCTATAACAAGGAGAACGTGAGAAGGGGCAGATGGGAGGGACAGATACAATACAGTGTGGAAACGGAGGAGGCAGAGAATGAACGCTCGCCCAGGGCCTGGAGAGAGTACGCCAGGCCAAGGGGGCTCCATTATGTTTTCTGCCATCAGGGAGGAGCCCATGACCCCAGAAGACTAAGACTAGGGCACCTATAACAAGGAGAACGTGAGAAGGGGCAGATGGGAGGGACAGACACAATACAGTGTGGAAACGGAGGAGGCAGAGAATGAACGCTCGCCCAGGGCCTGGAGAGAGTTCCACAGGGGACAGCACCGCGGGGGGTGGGAGGTGGGGTGCCTGGAAGAAGAGCAAAGACCCTGCTCTTAAAACCAGCCCCGGCTAGGCTTTTGTCTTCTTCTGGAAGTCAGGCAGCGCTGACAAAACCGAAAAACCATTCTATATGGAAGTGCCTGCGCATTTCCTCAGACCCGTCGCTGTTGGCAGCCAGTTGAGGTCACGGCGTTATAATGTCCCATCGGGACTCAGAGTTACACCAGAAACCTGAATCTGGTGTCTTCTGACGGGAAAAGTCCCCAGTTGGTAAAGATGGTTGGAAAAGTTTGCTACGGACGGTAGAGGGCAGTGATAACCATGGTTGTGAATGGTCTGGCCCTTTTTTAAATTTGCAAGGCTGAGCTTTGCCAGCAGTAGGCAGACTTGTTAGGAAAGGATCTTTAAATGTTCTGTATTTGGGAGAAAATTTTGCAAGCTCAGTTGTGTTCAGTCAGGAGCATGCAAAAGAAACTTCCCGGAGAAATGAGTGTTTAATGTTTAGCATTTGTGCGAAGCTGCTGAAAAGAAGCCCTCTTTAGCACCGCTGCATTTTTTCCTACTACGTCAATGCAGAATGAAGTCCAGAAAAACACAGACTGACTTAACATGCTGGTCGCACAACTTTGAAACATGCGCCCGTCTTGATGTTTAGGGGACAATACTCTTTTATGGGCTGTTCCTGAATATGACATTTTGGTGTTTTTGCATTTGCACAATCTAGCTGCTGTTCTTTCATGATGTTATTTTCCACATCATCCCTTTGGGAGAGTGATCCTAAGTTACCCCTTTGCATCTGCTTGGGCCTGGCCCCCTTTCCTGCAACAGCAGCATTCCAAAACCGTCATAGATTTTCATCACCACATCTGCTTGTTGTGCTAGTGTGTGCATGTGTGTGTTCTCAAAGCCCCACCATGCCCAGAGTCAGGTCTGAGTCTCAGATCCAGTCGACTATCATGTGTATTTAGTGAAGGTTGTGGTACTTACCTGCTTTGTAAGTAAGCAGGAGGCAGAGAATAGGGGAAGGTACAAAAGAAAGGTTGCATTCCTGGTCTCTGCAGAGCTTAGAGCCCATAAGGGGCTGGAACATGTGGTCACCAAGCCCCAAACCTGGAGTTGTCCTGGGTCCCTTTCACTCACCTGCAACAGACAACCTGGTGCAGCACCAGAGCCCCACAGCTCTATCTGGAAGTCTCTCTAGCCCGTGTCCTCCTCTGCCTCTTCTATCATGCCCCAGATGAGGCCTTTGCCATCTCACAAGTGACCTTCGGTTCTAAGAACCAGCCCCCCCTGCCTTCCATCTGGTCCGGTGAGCCTACCACATGGCCCAGGGAACATCTCTAAAACACACATGGGACCATGCCACTCCCTGCCCCTGATCAAATCAGTTCCAAGCCCTTAACAGACATGCAGAGTGTTTCATGATAGGCATGCAGATAGCGCTCAATCCACGGTGGTATTATTAGCCTTCCTCTGGTCAGCTGAGCCTGAGTCCCAGATGCCTCCCAGCCGGACTCCAGTTACCCCCAGGGGCGCGATCACAGCTGCCTCTGAATGCCCCCCTAAATGGCCCCTTTCCCGCTTACTCAGGCTGAGTAAGAACCTCTGTCCAGGGAGCATCACGAGCAACTGACGGCATCCGCCCAGCATCCTGTACCTCACTGATAGGAAGCCAGGCTCCATGCGTTGGGTTTCTAGTCATCAGCCTCATCTCCGGCTAATGGAGGGCAGCACTTTGCTGCGGTGGGAGCCCATCTCCCTCCCTTGCTGTCGGTCAGCTTTCTCCCTCTCTGGAATTTGCAAGCACACTGAGGTTTATTTTTATCTCATGGCTGTGAAATGTCTGAGAAACCTCCGCAGGCCCCTTCTCAGGACGGGGCGGCCTGCGGGTCAGCACTTCTTCCATGCGCACTCAGCTATGGAAGCGGAAACCCAAGGGTTGTGGGATGGAGAGGCCGACATCCGGACCACAGAGCAAGTGAGGTTAGGACCTGGGGATTTGCCAGCCACACCTGAGATCTTATTTTCTACTTCTCAGTGAAAGAAGCTTTCCCTGGTTTAGTAGCCCAAAGAGGAACAGGACTGAGAGCAAACCCCAGCCTCATGCCACGGGAACTTATCACACCTTCCTGCAAATCAGAAGCAGCTCACCTTCCTCCCCGCAGCACGGCCCCGTGCCAGGGCGAGGGCTGGGTTTGTGCCCCACTCACTGCTCAGCCAGGCACCCAGGGCACAGCTGTACAACCCCACGCAGTGGCCCTGCCCACTCTCTAAGACTTTGGGCTTGGGCTGGACACAGCTGAGCCACAGATAGGAGTGGTTATTTCCTGGAAAAGTGTTTATGGGTTGAAGATTGGGCCCTGGAGATGGGGTAAGAGGGAGGTCCGTGGATTTCTGCTATGGTGGGAGTTCACTACTCCGATCCCACATAAAACCCAAGGAATAGATTTTCCTCCTCCTTGTGGTTCAAGATGCTGCTTTGTTGGGCCCAGGCGTCTGGAATGGGAGATGTGGAACAACAGTCCTTGTTACAACTGCGAGTATTTATCCTGGGCTGGGACAGCAGCCCGGGACAGAGGAAAGAGTGCCAGGTCTACAGCCAGAGAGACTTAGATTTGAATCCTATGTGTGCCATATTGTAGCTGTGTCAGCCTGGGCACATCATTTAAACTCTCTGAGCCTCAGTTTCTTTATCTGTACAATGGGAATATTGCAGAGGCATTGGCAAGATACTGGCTGTCAATCCTACATTCAGATTTTGGAGGCCCTGCAAATGAAAGATGATGGTGCCCCCAAGATATAGATCAATGTAAAACAAAGCAAAACCATCAAGTAAGCATAAGAAAATACAGAAAGTTATGATTTTTCTATTGATGATTATATTGATTCTTTTTTTAATTTTTGAAATATCAATTTGTTTTGAAAATTATTTTTAGTGCCTCCACTTTGCTGGTGTAATAAGCAGGGGCTGAGACTGCCTGGTGGGAAATCACGTGCTTCTGGTTCCATCCTTTTCCTTTTCCCTGAGCTCTTACACCAAGATGAGGCGGCAGGCTGGGCGCGTGGGTGGAACCTCGTTCTTCTGCATCATGGTCTTAACTCGTCACTCTGCAATCACTTGGCTACTTCTCTGTCTTCCCTGGAGACTGTCAGCTCCGTGAGGGCAGGGATCTTGTGGGTTCCGACTCCTCATTCTGTCCCCAGTGCCTAGCATGGGGCTTGGCATAGATATTTCACTTGCCTCGGTGCAGCTCACTGAATGGATGACTCATCTGGGCTTAATTCCAAACGGACAGTTCTGTGGGTGCTCCCACTGGGGTTTCTTCTAGGAGGTCTTCCCTATGGAGGGAGCACACGCGTGCCAGAGGCTATTTCAAATTTTTTCACCCGCATAGGACACAGTGTTTGTGGCCATAATCACAATGTATGTAACACTTTGTGCTGAACTGGAACTCTTGGACACGCTCTGATCATGCCTTCCATGTTTCCAGATGGTCTTCACAGTGGTTACTGTTAGTGCTACGCAGTGGTCACTCAGAAAGTTAATGTACACGGCTTACAAAGTCACTCCCTTATTACAGCCAACTTTGCGTGGATAGCTCTTCCTTCCTTCCACTGAGTAATGTCCCCAGTACAAGCCCTGGCAGCAGGATGACCACCCGGAAGAGCGTGAACACGTCTGTAGTGCCTAGTGAGGACTGCCGCTATTACAGCCAACTTTGCGTGGATAGCTCTTCCTTCCTTCCACTGAGTAATGTCCCCAGTACAAGCCCCGGCAGCAGGATGACCACCCGGAAGAGCGTGAACACGTCTGTAGTGCCTAGTGAGGACTGCCGTACTGCTTTCCAGAAAGGGGTGTCTGTACATGCTTCCCCGACAGAGTGTGACCGTAGTTTCAACGTAAAGCCACCACGTTAAGCATGTTTTTACCACCGTAGATGAAAAATCGTACTTCAAAGGTTGTTTTAATTTGCATTTATTCTTGATTATTTTAATAGCATTTTATTTTAATTTTATCTTTTCACCCTGTATAAAATCAAGTCATAAGTCAAAAAAATTTCTTCAACAGTTGAGTGTAGCAGCTAAACTTGAAATACAGGGCTTGGAGTCTTGATTTGGAATGTTAAAAATAAAATAGTGAAAATGTTTCTCTAACTTGCTTATTATATCTATCATATATGTGTCATGTATTATATGTACATGTGTTATTATATATGCATATATATTATATGTATTTGTCCCTTAGTTTATTTATTTTTCCTTGAATTCTCTATCCAAGTCCTTTAAATTGATTCACAGGCAGGGGGGGAGGAGTAATTTTTTTAGGAATTTGAATTGCATATTACAGCTAATAACTTTTTGCCTGTGATTCTTATTGGTGTTTAGAATTGAAGACCATGTCATTCTGCCCCACTTTTAGGCTCTGTGCTGTAGGGTTCACAGTCCCTTGAAAGCAACCCAGTTTCCATAGTTTACAACTTAAAGCAGCCATTTCCTCTAACAAGACTTTTCCTTTCCCAGTTGAAGCAGGCCCCTTGGGGTCAGAAGCATTAGGTCAGATCCTTGCTCTGTTCTGTCTGACCTCTGTAAACTCCAGTTTCTTAATTTTAATATGGCGGTAAAGTAACCAGTGTAAGAGTTTAGTTTGAGGATCAGATGAGATCATGTAAACTCCTACCACTTTGTAAGTAAGCATTAGCTGAAGCCAACTGCTTCATTCAGTCTTAAATTCAACTGCCTTTCTGAATTTGACCTTTAAAAAAATATTAAAAAATAAAGTAAAAATTGAAAACAATTCGGAGATCCATTGGGTTTCGCCCACTGGGACTTCAGGGTGTGGCAGAAGTTCTGGCACGGTCCTGTTGCCACCTCTTCTGCTCTTCGTGACTCTCTTTGTGCGTTTGTTTCACAGGCAACTTCAGCAACAGCAGGCAGAGTTGGAAGTGCACCAGAGAGATGGCTTGTCATCATACGACTTATCTCAGGTGAAAATCTGGAAAACTGTTTCCCAGCTGTTTCCAGCGCAGTGGGCTGGGGACTAAATTTAGCCCTTAGTTTGAGCCCCTCAGTCCAAAAAGTGCTATTGTCCTGTCCACCCACGATGGTGCAAAGAGCGTTTTGGTCCCCTGGGGGTCTACAGTGACTCTTCCATGCAGAACAGTGCCATGAAGAGTACAGAGCATGTGGAGACCAGGCAAGGACCCCTGAGCCATAGGCAGCCAGCCCTGGAGATTTCAAAGGGCTCTGGATGTTTCAAAAGGCCGTGTAGGAATAAACTCTAGTACTGAAATGCTCAGAAGCCAGCAAAAGTAGGTTCTGAGCCTCTTGGGTCCTCTGGCTTCCTAGCCACGTCCCTGCCTTTGTCTGTGTCCGTTTCTTGCGGTCATGCTCCGTGTCTCCCGTGTTACCTGCACCGTCTGTCTCCTTCTCCCATCTCCCATCTCCATGGTGCCCCCTTTCTGCCCACCTCCCGCCTCTTCCTCTGCTTGCTGCTCCGACAGCTGGCCATACAGAGACTGCAGCACGTGTTGGTATTTGGCCTCTTTGCTAAATTAAACTTCAGGCTCCCTTTTCCTGATATTTGGAGTAAGTTGATTGCTTTTCATTTATCTCTCTCTAAGAAAGGAGTCAGTGTGACTCTGTTGTCCTTGATGTGACCTCTAGTTCACAACTCCCACCCCAGCTGTTCTTGGCTTTGACATAAAGAAGAGCTCTCCATCCTGTAAAATGTTCCAGCCTGAAATGCCAGTGATTGCAGTGGAAGGGGCATCTGACGAGGGAGAACTAGTGACTTCTGGACATGTGTGTTCTTTTCCTCAGACGGGTTGCTGTTGTGTTTTAATGTGCAAACAGGTCCCTGTCCCCAACCTACCAGCTGGTGTTCACGAGACCGGGAAGTCTGTGGAGAAGGCAGATACTATCTTCTCCCAGGAAAGAGACCCCCGCTTTGCTGAGATGTTTGCAGGAATCAGTGCATGTAAGTTTCCAGAGGGCACTGAGGTTATGAAGATGGGGGGTTTACAGGTGCTTTCAGGCCATCTACAGACAGCCATCCTTAGAGAGGGGGCCATGGAGTGACCACTGCAGGGTATAAAAAGAAACCTAAGTGCAGGAGTCAGAATGGATTTTCTCTACTCCAGACCCTGCCTCTTACTCGGGGCAACCAACCTGTGGCCCTGACATCTCATCTTTGAAATTTAAGAGGTTGGAATAAGTGAACTCTATCAATCCATTCTGCATGTCAGTGTTATTAATCTAAAGACATGTCTCTGTAAAAAATAGCAACTTAATCCCTAGCATACAGAGGGCCACATTTTAAAATAAAAATATGCACTTTTTTTTTTTTTGTCTTTTGTCTTTTTCCGTGTCCGGCAACGGATCGCAACCCT